GACTCTGTCTCAAAAAAAAAAAAAATAGTGGGTAATCATTCCATTATTTGTGATCCACTGCACATCTGCTACACTGTACATGTTAGATGCTACAGTGATACAGAGCGATGGATCTTGCCTCAAAAAAGCTTATGGATGAGTAGCTAAGGTCAGCAGATAATGGTGACAATGCAGAATAGAAAGGGGTTAGAGGCCGAGTATGGTAACTCATGCCTGTAATCCCAGCACTTTGGGAGGCCAAGGTGGAAAGAGTGCTTGAGCCCAGGAGTTGAGTCCAACCTGGACAACACAGTAAGATGCATCTCCAAAAAAAAGCCAGGCTTAGTGGGGCACTTGTCTGTGGTCCCAGTTACTTGGGAGACTGAGGCAGGAAGATCGCTTGAGCCCAAGAGGTCAGGGCTACAGTGAGTCGTGTTCACACCACTGCACTCCAACCTGAGCGACAGAGCAAGACCCTGTCTCAAAAAAAGAAAAAGAGGGTCATGTTGGAAAAGGTCCTATTGAAAGAGGTCTGCCTAAGAGCTCTTGAAGGTTATTTAAGGGAAATTGTTACTAGTGGAGGGTAAGGAATCTTCTATTTTTATTTTTGTGAGACAGGGCCTTACTCTGTCACCTAGGCTGGAGTGGCGTGATTGTGGCTCACTGCAGCCTCCAACTTTTGGGCTCAGGCAATCCACCAGCCTCAGCCTCCCAAGTAGCTGGGATTACAGGCATGTGTCACCACTCCCAGCTAATTTTTTTGATCGGATTTTTTTTGTAGAGACAAGGTCTCTCTTTGTTGCCTAGACTGGTCTTGAACTCTTCAATCAGTCCTCCCGCCTGGGTCTCCCAAAGTGCTGGAATTATAGGCGTGGAAAACTAAGGGAATGGTGTGGTAGGTGGGCCCTTCAGGCAGAGGGGCATCACATGAGCAGGGAATAGAAAGGTACTGAATCTAGGTAAGGCCTAGCAATCCGCTTGATTTGACTGGAGTCAGGCTTTTGGCAGGGGAGGGATGAGTGGCAAAATGCTATTGTGGCTAGGGGCTAGAATTTTCAAAAGCCTAGCTAAGCGTAAAAGAATTTTTACTGAGGGTTGGCCAGGCGCGGTGGCTCACGCCTGTAATCCCAGCACTTTGGGAGGCCGAGGTGGACAGATCACGAGGCCAGGAGATCGAGACCATCCTAGCTAACATGGTGAAACCCCGTCTCTACTAAAAATACAAAAATTAGCTGGGCATAGTGGCAAATGCCTGTAGTCCCAGCTACTTGGGAGGCTGAGGCAGGAGAATCGCTTGAACTCAGGAGGCGGAGCTTGCAGTGAGCCGAGATCGTGCCACTACACTCCAGCCTGGGCAACAGAATGAGACTCCATCTCAAAAAAAAAAAAAAAAAGGAATATTACTAAGGGTTTTGATTAGTAGCAGAGGCTGCTCTAGTTAGACAGGAAGGGCAGAGCTGAGTTCAGTTAGCTGTGGCAGTGGGGATGTGGGAAGGAGCTGCAAGAAGTCCTGCAGCAGTTGATTCAGGAAGCCTTGCTGATTGATCAGATTGTCCCCTTAAGGTGGAGTCTGTTAGGCATGTGGCCCTAGGACCTTGTGGAGGAAGTGGACAACATAGGTAGCACAATGCCCTTAGCAGACTTTTTGGGGCTGCCTTGCTGATGATAAAAAACTTTTGTAATGCTGTGTATTTTAGGCTTCTTCAGGGAAACGAAAGTGGCTCCTGTAAGAAGGCTGGTTTTCAGCACAGAATTTCTGAGTTTCCCAAATATTACACAAAATTTACTTAGAGAATTTGCTTGTTGGGATCTTAGTATTTGTAAAATGTATGAAGAACATCTGAAGAGAATCCTACAGTCCCTCTGTCACGTATGATATCAGTAACTTGTTTGTTGTTTATTTTTTCTTTTTGAGATAGCTAATTTTGTACTTTTAGTAGAGACAGGGTTTCACCTTGTTGGCCAGGCTGGTATCGAACTCCTGACCTCAAGTGATTGGCCCGACTTGGCCTCCCAAAGTGCTGGGATTATAGGCGGGAGCCACCTGCCCTAAGTATCTAATTGCTGTGATGACTAATTATTTTTTACTTAATAGGTTACTGCATATGAACCTGAGTCACAGGGTAGGGCCAGGCTCCTCACTTTTTTTTCTTTCTTTTTTTTTTTTTTTTTTTTTTTTTT